AGTTTTTTTTAAAGTTGTTTCTGCCGAAGGAGGGCATGCCTTCCTGGGCAACACTGGACAGCACTGGATACGAGGCCGTAGCTTTAGGCCTCATTGTGAGGAGCAGGGGGCCCAGTCCAGTCAGCCCCAACTGCTCAAGGTCTCCCCGTTCACAGGAACCACCTCCCATCGCATGGATCCTGTCTCAGGCTCTCCACTCATCATGCATCCTCACCATCTCCTTCTCCTCCCATGTGTCTGTCTTGGTCTCTGAGACTAAAGAACATTTCTTTCCTCCTCTCTGTGGACCACATCCTAAGAAAAGTGCCTGGGCACTAGACCCCTGCTGCCTTGAGTGTGTTCCCTGTGGTCACGAACAGCTGCCCCTTTCTGAGGCTCAGGCAAAGAGCCAATTCCTTCTTAGTGTCTCAGAATTGGTAGTTGCAGATGTTGGCAGAAGGATGGACACACAGATTAATGAAACAATGAAAAATCCAGAAACAGAGTCACATAAATATGTTCAACTGATTTTTGCCAAAGATGCAAAAGCAATTCAATGGAGGTAAGATCATATTTCAATAATTCTGCTGGAGCAACTGGACAACCAGGCCACACATGCACAAAAAGAACCTTGAGCTAAACTTAACTCAATCTTAAATCCAAATGGATCATAGACTTAAATGTAAAACGTAAGACCGTAAAACGTTTTTTTTTGAGACAAGAGTTTCACTCTTGTTACCCAGGCTGGAGTGCAATGGCGAGATCTCAGCTCACCGCAACCTCCGCCTCCTGGGTTCAGGCAATTCTCCTGCCTCAGCCTCCCGAGTAGCTAGGATTACAGGCGTGCGCCACCATGCCCAGCTAATTTTTTGTATTTTTAGTAGAGACGGGGTTGCACCATGTTGACCAGGATGGTCTTCATCTCTTGACCTCGTGATCCACCCGCCTCGGCCTCCCAAAGTGCTGGGATTACAGGCTTGAGCCACCGCGCCCGGCCTAGACCATAAAACTTTCAAAACAAAACCTAAGACAAAACTTTTTGGGATTTAGAGCTATTCAGGGTTCTTAGACTTGAAACAAAAATCAGGATCCATAGAAGAAAAAACTGATAAACTGGGCTTCATTAAAATTGAAAATTTTTGCTATGCAATGATCTTGTTAAAAGCTACCTACTAAGAGAAAAATGTGCAAACTACATATCCCACCAAGGACTCATATCTAGAATATAAAAGGACTCCCATTAAAAAAGCAAACAATACAAGACAAAAAATGTCACAGAAGAAAAATATTGCCAATGACAAATAAGCACTTGCAAAGATATTGGATATCTTTAGCCATCAGGGAACTATAAATCAAAACCACGAGATAACTACACATCTACCAGAATGGCTAACATAAAAATAGTGACACCACCAAATGCTGGTGAGGATGTAGAGAAAGTGCTGGTTAGAATGTTAAACAGTACTGACACTATAGAAAACCATTTAGCAATTACTTAAAAAATTAAAAACATAACCCCAAATGGCCCAGGAATTATATTCCTGGATATTTATCCTAGAGAAATGAAGACATATTTTCACACAATAACTTGTACATTGAATGTCCACAGCAGCTTTATTTGTAACAGCCCCAAATTAGATGCCACCCAGATGCCCTCCAGCAGGTAAATGGTTAAACAAACCAGGAGATATTTATATCACAGAATACTAGTCTCATCTATACAGGATAAATATCCAAATAATTAACCTGAGTGGAAAAGCCAATTTCAAAAGACTGCATACAGTATGATTCCATTCAGTGACATTCTTAAAATAGCAAAACTATAGGAGTGGACTGGGGTATGGCTATAAAAGTGCAACAAAAGGATATTCCGGTGATGGAAATAGTCGCATCCTTTTCTAAATGGACATACAATAGTATGCTTATGGGGAAAAATGTGATGTTTCCACACAGTTATACATGGTGGAATGATCAAATCAGGCTAATCAACATATTCATCACTTCAAATACTTATTTCTTTCCTTTTTTCTGAGATGGAGTCTCAGTCTTGTTGCCCAGGCTGGAGTGCAATGGCACAATCTTTGTTCACCGCAACCTCCACCTCCCAGGTTCAAGCAAAATTCTCCTGCCTCAGCCTTCTGAGTATCCAATAGTTATTTCTTTGTGGTGAAAACATTTAATATCCGTTCTTTTAGCTGTTTAAAATTATACATTATTATTAACTATAGCTACTATGCTATGCAACAGATCACCAGACCTATTCCTCCTGTGTAAATGAAACTGCGTACCCTCTGATCAAGATCTCTCCTTTCTACTCTGTCCCCTGTCCCCAGCCTCTGAGAACAACCTCTGAGAACATACTCTCTAATTCTATGAGTTTGACTTTTTAAGACTTCACACTTAAGTGAGATCATTGTATTTGTGTCTGGCTTATTTCACAAAATATTCTGTATCTTGACTGTTCTGTGTACGATAATGTAAAACTATAGTTTTGAAAGATGCTACTATTGAAGCGAGTTGGGTAAAGAGGACAGGACTGTTGTGCATTATTTCTTGTAAATGCATGGGAATCTACAAATGTCTCAAAATAAACAGTTTAAGGAAAAAAAAGTGAATGAGCACCTAAGGTCACAGTCCTGCCTTTAACTCTATCACTGCAGCACAATTTTGAAGAACATTTAAAAATCTGAGGGAGAAAAAGTGAAGAATGCCAGCCATTATGCAATAACTTCAAAGAAAATAGTATGAACTGATTCATGAGACAAATACTTTGGTTCTGGCAAGAATGTATGACATATAATTTGCAAACAGACATGACTCTGAACATATTTTGTTTCTTCCAAACGGATGCCAGGAGAAAGCAATGGTAGTTTTCAGAGGGCAAAGATGATATAATCACTTTAAGAAGTAAAGTAGCAGATCTACCCCAAAATGGATCATTCCACCCAGTGTTCTGACATGACATTAGAATTAAAGCGTAAACTGCAAAAGCTCAAAAAAAAAAAAGGATTTGTCCAAAGGAGGTAAAACCAGTAAAAGAAGACTGCCGTTACAAATGTGTAACACTGTCCAGTAGGATATGTGAGATAAACAAATGTCTCTTTCAAACTATACTTCCAAGAAAGAAAAATGGAAGAGCAAGGGGATCAGCAAAAATGTAAGGAGTCATAAAGAACTTCCCTACCCTTGTAGGCATTTACACTTAGAGGCTTTCATGTACATTAAATCAGTAGGAAAATTTATGGCCAGGTGCAGTGGCTCACTCCTTAACCCCAGCACTTTGGAAGGCCGAGACAGGAGAATCATTTGAGGTCAGGAGTTTGAGACCAGCCTAACCAACATGGTAAAACCTCAACTCTACTAAAAATACAAAAAACTGGGCCAGGTGCGGTGGCTCATGCCTGTAATCTCAGCACTAGGAGACCAAGGCGGGTGGATCACGAGGTCAGTAGGTCGAGACCATCCTGGCTAAAACGGTGAAACCCCGTCTCTACTAAAGATACAAAAACTTAGCTGGGCGTTGTGGCACATGCCTGTAGTCCCAGCTATTCAGGAGGCTGAGGTAGGAGAATCACTTGAACGTGGGACGCAGAGGTTGCAGTGAGCCAAGATCTCCACTGCACTCCAGCCTGGGTGACAGAGCAAGACTCTGTCTCAAAAAAAAAAAAAAAAAATTAGCTGGGCATGATGGTGGGTGCCTGGAATCTCAGCTACTAAGGAGGCTAAGGCAGGAGAATCACTTGAACCCAGGAGACGGAGGTTGCAGTGAGCCAAGAACATGCCACTGCACTCCAGCCTGGGCGACAGAGACTTTCTCTCAAAGAAAAAAAAAAAAAAGAAAGAAAAAGAAAAAAAAAGGGCCAATTTGTGACTGGTGACCCTAAAACTTCAACCAATGTGAAAAGCCTTAGTGAGTATGACTTTGTAAACTGTAAGATTATAAAAACCTTGAATTGGAAAAACATACAACAGTAACTACCTCTGCCATGAGGCGGACTGGAAGAACAAAGAGGGTCTCAGCATTCCTTCTTTTGTATACAAAAAAATTATACACAAAAATGATAAATTCACTGTTAATTCTGGCAGTTATTTTATGAATACGTTGCCACACAGTACTTTTCTGTTCTTCAAATTTAGCAACAGCTAGACTGGGAAATATAACAGAAAAGGGCATCTTCATCTTCCATTTCACTGGCCCTTATTTATAGAAGCCTTAGCTAGTTCAGCCCACACAGAAAAAAAACATGCCAAAGAACCATTTAGAAAACTGACCTTTGTTAAATGACTTTCCATACATTTTAAAACATATATTTGTATTTTTTATTTTTTAAAAAAATACTGTTATTTTATGATATATGAAATATTTACAGAAATAAAACCTTTTATATAACTGTGTTTTTAAGAAATTAAGACTACAATTCCTCTTTAAAAAAAAAAAAAAGACAGGGTCTCACTCTGTCACTCAGGGTGGAGTGCAGTGGCACAATGTCAGCTCACTGCAACCTCTGCTTCCTGGGTTCAAGCAATTCTTGTGCCTCAGTCTCCCAAGTAGGTATTACAGGTGGCAACCACCATGCCCAGCAGACTTTTCTATTTTTGGTAGAGACGGGGTTTTGCCATGTTACTCATGCTAGTCTTGAACACCTGGCCTCAAGATATCCACCTACCTCAGCCTCCCAAAGTGTGGCGAGATTACAGGTGTGTGCCACCATGCCTGGCCTATGAGTGCAATTCTTGAAAACTTCATCCAGGGACTTTTTTGAAGTAGGCTAGACACACCTACCCAAGGCTGGTGAAGAGCCACTTAACATGATTAACATGATGATAAAAAACAACAACAAGACTAGTAGATAGTCTACAGCTGAACAGAGAAGAGATTAAAACCATTGAGAAATACCTAAGAAACTGACGAAGTCTGGGAAAAATCAGACTTTTGAAAAATCCCCTAGTAGAAAGACTATCGGCTTCTTTAGATTCAAAGACATATATACAAACTATAAGAACAAATACAGAAGTCATACCTTTCAGGCCTAAAGTCTGCAACTGAAACAGTTTTCCCAGCTCAAAAGGTAGAACTCGTAACAGGTTGTTATTTAAATGGAGCTCCCTGTTGATGCAAAAATTCCAGTAAGACAGAAAAACATGCTAGCCTTTAGCATTTAAAATCAACAACACAGTTTCTAGGAATGTAAGCACCTAAGAATGAAAAAATGTTGTATTATATTCCAATGTCTAGTACGGTGTTTCTTAAACTACATGTGGTTTAAAAAAAAAAAAAACTGCCAGAAAATACAAGAAACAAATTACTAGAAAAATAAGGGAAAAAGGATAAAATATAAACTGCAATTTATAAAAAGTATTAGATTCAACTGACATATAAAATTATTAAATTGCTGTATTACTCTCACCGCAGACTGGCAAGACAATTTGCAAACTGGCACCAGGTCACAGATCACACTGAGTATCACTGGTCGATCACATGTGGGATCTACTACACACTTAAGAAAGTAGAAATGATAAAGCAGCCTACCATGTGAATTCTTACAAGAAAAATAAAATGACCATTTAGTTAACGACTCAAAAGAGTTTACAGCAGCTGCACAATTAAGCTTATGATTACTATTAACTAAAGTTGCATTTAAAAAATAACAGCAGCTGTACTAACTATTCATAATTATTCTTAATAATTTGTTTTGCAGAGATAACCATAAATGTCAAAGGAATCTTCCAAGTGAGGGAGACATGCAAGGAAAGAACAACCAGAGACCAAATACTGATACACTAGCAATGTAACACATTAAGTTTTGTCAATTTTTAAGTGTGCAGGAAATCTATTTCTATAATCTTTGGGTTTTGACATTTAAATGAATCTTGGTTACTGAGCAAGCCAGAGGTCTGTACGGCTGTAAACTGAACAACAGCTAGTTCTGAATATCTGACTCCTGTTTATTTCCAAATGTAATACACAGAAAAAAGGAGGTCCCTTGGCTGGGCACAGTGGCTGCTGCCTGTAATCCCAGCACTTTGGTAGGCCAAGAAGGTGGATCACTTGAGGTCAGGAGTTTGAGACCAGCCTGGCCAATATGGTAAAATCCAATAGCTACTAAAAAAATACAAAAATCAGCCAGGAGTGGTGGCAGGTGACTGTAATCCCAGTTACTCGGGAGGCTAGAATCGCTTGAAACCAGGGCAGAGGCTGCAGTGAGCCCAGACTGCACCACTGTACTCCATGCACTCCAGCCTGGGTGACAAGAGCCACGAAAGGCAGGAAGGCAGGAAGGCAGGAAGGCAGGAAGGCAGGAAGGCAGGAAGGCAGGAGGGCAGGAGGGCAGGAAGGCAGGAGGGCAGGAAGGCAGGAGGGCAGGAGGGCAGGAGGGCAGGAAGGCAGGAAGGCAGGAAAGGAAAGGAGATCCTTCAAGTAAATTTGCTTCACAGGACTAAAAACAGTCATAGAATAAAACTCAATAATTAAGCCTAGAAAAGGGCTGGAGTAGGAGCAACAGAGGTAGACCTTTCACAAGGTCCTTATTCCTTTTTACTACATGGCTAATGGCACAAGGCAGCAAAAAAACCAGAGGAACCATGGTGAAAAGTCAGTTAATATGAAATAGCACAAAATATTCCATTGGGATTAACATAATAGATGAAATGTTAACTTAATTAGATCTTATTTAACTTATAAAACAGAAGTATTATAATAATAATAATAATAATAATAATAATGGGCCAGCCACAGTGGCTCATGTCTGAAATCCCAATTCTCTGGGAGGCCAAGGTACACACTAGAAGTTTAAGAGCTGCCTGGGCAACACAGCGAGACCTCCATCTCCATCAAAATAAAAACAGAACAAATCTTTTATAAATAGCAATTACCATTTCTTTTTTTTTCTTATTGGAGGTGGGCAGGAGGAGTGTGGAGACATGTAGTGGCATGATCTCTGCTCACTGCAACCTTGACCTCCTGGGCTCAAGGCATCCCTCTGCCTCAGCTTTCCAAGTAGCAGGGATTACAGCTGCAAGCCACAAAGACCAACACCTGGGCTCAAGTAATCAGCCCACCTCAGCCTCTCAAAGTGCTAGGATTACAGATGTGAACCACCACGTGCAGTCAGTAATTACCATTCCTTAAAATACAGTAATATGCCAGGCACAGTGCTAATGCTTTTTACCCATTATCTCAAATATCCCTAATCCTGGGTTAAGAAGGTTGTCTAGGATCACACAAATTGTAAATGGCAAAGTTAAGATTCCAACCTGAACTCACATGTGACTCCAAATGCTACATATTTCATGCTATAGCCCCCCCAAATTTAATAATTAATTCTAGCTCTTTCAAGTCCAGGCTTTACTACTACTATCAAACATACAAGCCCTGGGATGGCAAAAAAGGTTTCACCAATTGGCAATGGTTTCCTGGGCCCTGGGTTAAGGACGGTACAGTGCCCTAACTATTTGTCATGGGTAAGTATGTGGGGTAAAATAAGTGCCTTAGCCCCTCTCTCTCCAAACTTTTTCATTTGAGAATAAGTATATTACACAAAATACAGTAATTTAAAATTTCAGGCAATAATCTACCTTAATTTATTATTAGCTGACAATTCAGTGTTCCCAAAAACATAAAGTTATAAAGGATATAGTTATATTCCCTTTTATTCAAATACCATTAAATGAACAGTTTTGTTTCCTAACATAACAAATGCTGTATTTTGTTTTAGGGGTTATACAGTTAGTACGTATTAAATTGAATCTGCATACCTGAGTGATACCATGTTTCCGAGTTCTGCGGGTAAGCTACGGATTTTATTAGATGACAGGTCCAAATACGCCAGATTGTGAAGCTTGGCAATGTCTGAAGGAATTCGGGACAGGGAATTGTCACTCAAATGCAAAGCTGTCAGATGAGTTAGTGACCACAAAGATGCACTTAAGCTTCTTACTTTTCCTGTAAGAGAAAAAAGATAAGAACAGATGATATAGTTTCTCTACAATTTGTTCTGTAGATCAAATAAGGTTTAGCTGGGTTTTTTTTTTTTTTTCCAAGACGGAGTTTCGCTCTTGTTACCCAGGCTGGAGTGCAATGGCTCGATCTCGGCTCACCGCAACCTCCGCCTTCTGGGTTCAGGCAATTCTCCTGCCTCAGCCTCCTGAGTAGCTGGGATTACAGGCACGCGCCACCATGCCCAGCTAATTTTTTGTATCTTTAGTAGAGATGGGGTTTCACCATTTTGACCAGGATGGTCTCGATCTCTTGACCTCGTGATCCACCCGCCTCGGCCTCCCAAAGTGCTGGGATTACAGGCTTGAGCCACCGCGCCCGGCCAGTTTAGCTCTTTTTATGAGTAACTTAAATTATTATCCAAAAACTTGTGAGAAGGGGTTAACAGGAAATCTTACCCATTCTGTGGCAATTCATTGCTATGCTATGATTAAGTTATAAGCTCTTCACTTAGCAGGTTAAAATAAAAAGTTAATGTACCAATACTGCTTAGATTGCATCTTTACTTTTAGGAGCACAAGAAGAATTTATCCTTTAAAATGATCTGAGACATGAGAGGGAAATATGATTAATTTATAGTAATGATAAATCCAACATCTGAACATCATGATTGGTTTGGACTTATACAAAATAACACAAATTCTAATATCTCAGAGGCTGTTCATATCTCCAGAAAACAGGAATTTTGCCTCAAAACAAAAAGGAACACAAGGTATTAGTTTAACTGAGTTTTAAGACCAGGGTACCCAGGCTGGGTGCGCTGGCTCACGCCTGTAATCCCAACACTTTGTGAGGTCAAGACGGGTAGATCATGAGGTCAGGAGTTCAAGACTGGTCTGGCCACCACAGTGAAATCCTGTCTCTACTAAAAATACAAAAAATTAGTCAGAGGTGGTAGTGCATGCCTGTAATCCCAGCTACTTGGGAGGCTGAGGCAGGAGAATCCCTTGAACCCAGGAGGCGGAGGTTACAGTGAGCTGAGAATGCCACTGCACTCCAGTCCAGGCAACAGTGCAAGACTCTGTCTCAAAAAAAAAAAAAAAGACTAGAGTACCCAAGTGGTAACTGAATCAAGAACCACACAACTAAGCAGAATTTGTATTACATGTTTTGTGTTGTATGCTAACGAGTAAAACAATATATGTATTACATTTTAACAAGTAAAAACACTTCAGATATTAAGTCATACTATTATAAGCAAATAGTAGTGGGCATAAGGTTCAGTGACTAAGAACAGGATAAAATCTTTCAATGCAATAGTAAATCTATACTTTGGCTCTTCTTGATAAATTCTCAATGGTTTCTACAATCTAAGAATTTTCCCCATAATCTCCTTAATGGTTCAGGATCTAATCTGAGACAGAATGAAACAAATGTAATGAAAACATACCAGTCTTTCAGAACTTATTTTCTATTGGCTGAAAATGCAAACTTGAGACTTCTTAACAAAACAGTGGTACCAGGAACTAAATTTACCATGCCACCTGAAACACATATCGTTATCACATAATATACATGAGTCAATAAATTTCTAAGATGAGACACCAACCAATGCAGGAGAGTCATTCCTGAAGGGTGAGAAACAAACAAGGTAGACCTTCTAACAGTCTCAGCTTACTGCTTAGACAGCATTTACAAGAGGAAGCCCAAGGAGGGGAATACCAGGTAGGGCATAGTGATCTTCCCTGAGTTCTGGAGACGGAAAGTCCAGAGAAGCCAAGGTGACTAGAAATCAAGAGGCAAAACATCAGAGAAGAGAGAAGAACAGAGAAAAGACTGGAGATCTGAAGAGGCCCCCACTGCCCAGCTCAAGTTGTCAAGAGAGTATTGATCGGTACATGCATGTGAGAAACTGCCTGAGCCAGAGCGGAAAAAAACACCCAAAAGGATTGCTGAGGCAGCAATCCCCAAGTTCACAAAGAACTGAGGCTAGATTTTGTTCCTAAATGTCAGAGGAAGGACTGCTAATGAATACAGAGTTCCTTTTTGGGATGATGAGTATATTCTGCTATATGGTACAATTCTGTGTATATACAAAATCCACTAAATTTGTACTTTAAATGGCTGAACTTTACAGTATGTGAATTGTATCTCAAGTTGTTACACACGCACACACACACACACACACACACACACACACACAAAACCAGAAAATGTCTATGTTTGATTAAAACTCTATACTCACAGATACAAAAAAACTCAATGAGGGCAGGTCACAGTTGGCTCATGCCTATAATCCTGGCACTTTGGGAGGCCAAGGTGGGTGGATCACTTGAAGTGAGGAGTTCAAGACCAGCCTGGCCAACACGGCGAAACTCCATCTCTACTAAAAATACAAAAATTAGCCAGGTGTGGTGCCAGGCACCTGTAATCCCAGCTTCTAGAGAGGCTGAGGCAAGAGAATCGCCTGAACCCAGAAGGCAGAGGTTGCAACGAGCTGAGATGGCACCACTGCACTCCAGCCTGGGCGACAGAATGAGACTCTGTCTCAAAAAAAAGAAAGAGAGCAAGAAAGGAAGAAAGAAAGAAAATGGGAGAGAAAGAGAAAGAGTGAGGGGCCAGGTGCAGTGGCTCATGCCAGTAATCCCAGCACTTTGGATGGTCGGGGCCGGCAGATCACTGAAGGTCAGGGGTTCAAGACCAGCCTGGCCAATATGGTGAAACCCCACCTCTACTAAAATACACAAATTAGCCAAACGAGACTCTGTCTTGAGAGAGAAAGAGAGAGAGAGAGAGAAACATAATTTTTAAAACGAGTAAAAGATCTGAACAGATACTTCACCAAAGACGATATAAACGGATGGCAAATAATCACATGAAAAAATGCTCAAAATTGACAGTCATTAGGGAAACGCAAATTTAAACCACTCTAAGATAGCACTACACACCCAGAAGAATGGCTAAATTTAAGACTTGTGTTAGTGAGGGCATGGATCAAAGACATCTGGTAGGAATATAAGACAAGACCTCTTTGCAAACCAGTTTCAGTTTTTTAAAAAGTTAAACATACATTTACCATATGATCAATTCCATTTTTAGGAAATAAAGGTTATGCCCATACAAAGAGGAATGTTCACAGCAGCTTTATTTGTAATAGTCAGATACTAAAAACAGCCCAAATGTGTTCAACAGGAGAACAAATAAACAAATGCTGGCACAGCCACAAAATGGACTACTACTACTCAGTAATAAAAAAGAATTAACGACTAAAAACCAACAAAACAATATGGATGAACTACAAAATAAGTATAGAGGATAAGAGCAGTCCAAAATCACCAAAAAAAAGGCCATTTACATGAAGAAAGTGTTCATACTGTATAAAATCATTTATGCAAACTAATCTACAATTCTAGAAAGCAGAACCGTGGTTGCTTAGAAATAGAGGAAGGAATAAACAGAAGAGGTGGGGAAGGAAGATCACAAACTTTCAGGAATGATGAATATGATCATTCTTGATGGTGGTGACGGTTTCACAGGTGTACAGAGTCAAAATATATACATTATTCACTTTATAAATGCCAAGTTTTTGAATGCCAACTCTACTTCAGTAAAACTATATAATAAAATCTATCTTAATTCAAGAAGGTACTACCCTTACTTTGCTATAAACAGAACAGACAACATACCACAAGCTATTGTAGAACAGAATTTTATTTACTTAATTTTCCATTCATAAAACTGAAAACACACAGTTGATATTCAATATGAATAAGGGGGACTTTGTTTTTTTGAGGCACAGTCTCACTCTGTCACCCAGATTGGAGTGCAGTGGTGTGCATGCTCATAGTTCTTTGTAGCCTTTAACTCCTAGGCTCACGTGATCCTCCTGCCTCAGTTTCCCAAGTAGCTGGAACTACAGGCGTGAGCCACTGCGCCTAGTTACCTACCATGTTTTCTGTTTCTCTGCCCTCTTCCCTCAAGAGAGGGCAAGGGCATGCCTAAAGAAGCAAATAGAGCTTCTGAATGGAGACAGAAAATTTCTATGGACTTACAGAGGTTCATTTTAAATGTCTGCCAATTTGTATAGCTCATTTTCCCATAGAGGGTGATCATAATTCTATCTGCCATTTCAAGAGGAGAGAAGGTAGCCAGAAAGGAAACCACAAAGTCTGTGAATAAAGAAAAGGAAAAAAAGTCAAGTAAAAGAATAACCATATGAGGTAGAGGCAAGAAGACAAGACGAACTCAAATCCCTACCATACACACAATTCTGGAATAAATTTCTAAATACTCAAACACCAAGAAAGAAATTAAACAGAATATTCCTCAGCATAACTCAAATCCTAGAATCCAAACATGACAAGAGTTGTCAGGTCTGAAGTCATTAAAATGTAAAATTTCTTTCTATATGGTGAAGACACCAACATGTATGGAAGCTAACCATTAATTCCGTCAATTTTCAGTATCTACCATGCTGGTATGGGAATAGAATGGTAAATAATAACCGTATCTCTGTCTTCATGATTTCCTGTGAGTTGTATAATGAAAGAAAACAAACAAATCAACAGGAAAATGAACAATGGATAAGAAGAGGTCACTTAAAAAACAAAGTCATATTAAAAACAAATGTTCATCCTCAGTAATAAAAAATGTTTACAACAGCAAAATAAAAAGACTAATATCCAATACTGACAAGGCTAAGGGGAAAACAGACACACTGTTTCATTACGGGAAAGATGCGGCTACTTTGAAATATCTACTAAAATTTTAAACCTGAGTATTCTTTGCCCCATCAATTCCACGAGTTGTGATTTACCTTATGAAAACACTTGTTCAGGTATGCTAAGATATGTTAGTAGTTGGGGAAAATTACAAATATAAATGATCATTAACAGAGCATACTTAATTATGTTTCATTCATATAATATTCCTTAGTCATTCCCTTTTAGAATGAAACAGTTAAATACACTGATGTGGAAATATGTTCACAACAAATGAAGCAAAAA